TACTTGGTATGCAGCTATTGACCTGGCTAATGCCTTTTTCTCCATACCTGTTTCAAAGGACCACCAGAAGCAGTTTGCCTTCAGCTGGCAAGGCCAACAATACACCTTCACTTGCCTACCTCAGAACTACATCAATTTTCCAGCCCTATGTCATAATTTAGTCCGCAGGGACCTTGATCCCCTTTCCTTTCCACAAGACGTCACACTGGTCCATTACACTGATGACATTATGCTGATTGGACCTAGTAAGGAAGAAGTGTCAATGACTCTGGACTTATTGGTAACACATTTGCGTGCTAGAGGGTGGGAGATTAATCCCACAAAAATTCAGGCACCTTCCACTTTAGTGCAATTTCTAGGGGTCCAGTGGTGTGAGGCATGTCAAGACATTCCTTCTAAAGTGAAAGATAAGTTATTACATCTTGCTGCTCCCACAACTAAAAAGAAGGCACAACGCCTAGTGGACGTCTTTGGATTTTGGAGGCAACATATTCCTCATTTGGGTGTGCAACTCTGGCCTATTTATCACATGACTCGGAAAGCTGCTAGTTTTGAGTAGGGACCAGAACAAGAGAAGGCTTTACAACGGGTTCAGGCTGCTGTGCAAGCCACTCTGCCACTTGGACCATATGATCCAGCTGATCCAATGGTGCTTGAAGTGTCAGTGGCAGATAGAGATGCTGTTTTGAGTCTTTGGCAGGCCCCTATCGGTGAATCACAGCACAGACCCTTAGGATTTTGGAGCAAAGCTCTGCCATCCTCTGCAGATAACTACTCTCCTTTTGAGAAACAATTTTTGACTTGTTAGTGGGCCTTAGTAGAGACTGAACGCTTCACCATGGGACACCAAGTCACCATGAGGCCTGAGCTGCCCATCATGAACTGGGTGTTGTCTGACCCACAGAACCATAAAGTTGGACGTGCACAGCGGCACTCCATCATTAAATGGAAGTGGTATATTTGAGATCGGGCCCTAGCAGGACCCGAAGGCACAAGTAAGTTGCATGAGGAAGTAGCCCAAATGCCCATGATCTCCACTCCTGTCACATTACCTTCCATCTGTGGCATCTGTGGCCTCCTGGGGAGTTCCTTATGATCAGTTGACTGAGGAAGAGAAAACTCGTGCCTGGTTTACAGATGGTTCTGCACGATATGCGGGTGCCACCTGAAAGTGGACCGCGGCAGCACTACAGCCCCTTTCTGGGACCTCCCTGAAGGACAGTGGTGAAGGGAAATCCTCTCAATGGGCAG